GAGTCTTTTCCTGGCTCGAGATCATCAAAGGAGAAACCGTTTAAGATGTACGACGATGAAAAGGATGTGATTGTGAAGCTTACTGATCTTGAAGACGGTTGGGAACTGGATAAGCCTCCCAGTGTACAGGTATTGAGCAGATTTAACATGCAGTTCTAACAGATCTTATGGTATAACCGCTGGACACTGCAGATATTACATGACGTCATCTTAGATTTTCTTTAAACTCGTTTTCCCTTCCCCCCCCTCCACCCCACAACAAATGCCTAATGCTACGTTAACGTGTAGTGTTTCGTATCATGACAACTCATTCTCGCCAAAAATTGCTTCGGAATGTTTCCCCATGACCTCAGTTATAAAGTTATGCGCGGAGTTGACCAAGGTCTTGGAGGGTGAGAAAGAATTTATTTTTTTTATGATTCACTTCTCTTTCCATAAGTTAAGTAGTTTCCACGCAAGGTTAATACGTTGTAACCTTTCTTTGTAGATATACGACTACGACACTGCATATCGCAATGGATTTCGTGTCAAAGACGCCTGTGATTTTGCAGTTAGACCAGCACGCCCAGGAGTGAAAGAATTTTCCTGCAACCTTAAATTTAACCAAGAAGACAGCCCAACAGAGTATTCAATTTATCTTTACCCGGGGTATTCACCGCGACAGGTGAAGTACACTATTGTACAGAAGTCGTAAAACACTCGCGTGGCAGTAATTCAGCATTCCTGTTCTTGAAATAACGTTAACCTGTGCCCAAGTTGTGTAAAATTAGTTGCCCAGTCGTAAACCATTTTAGCTCTCCTGTGCTTGTATATCATTGCTACTACAAACCAACAAAATTCGTTCTCCATTCGTTTCCCAGTCGTGTGATGAATCGCAGAACAGTCGCACCCCTATGGTATGTCAGCATAATTGCTAAGGAGTGCGTTATATCTCGCTATAGTCGCCCCGCACGAGAAGGTTATCGAAGTAACGCTAAATATTTCGGATTTAACTGGTCGTAATTGGCTTATTGTTAAACATATAGAGCCTGTTTAACGCTTTCTAGCAAACGAATGTTGACACGACCATTACAAATAAATATGTCGTTTCATTCGGTTTTGCTACTGTCAGGTGCACTCTACGGATTAACCAAGTGATTTAAGCACCAAACCTCTCTTTACCTCTGATAGTGACCCGAACAATTATACTAAACTAATCATCTTCCCAAGGACAAGTGAATATTGTTAATCATTCGTTAAGTAAACCGACAGTAATCGAACGGGAGTCGCGTACGTAGCAATTGTAGGATGGTTTAGGACTAAGTTATGAGTCAATATGTTATCGAGGTTATTCTGTTTTATTTTGTTTGTTATTCAATCAACAGACAAGTCGAAAGATTTTTGTTCAAAATTCTGAGAGTGGCACATCTTCCAACGGTTGTGAGTTTGCGGGTGCAGTTTCTATCACAATGCCACCAGAGGAGAACGAAACCAATGAAAGCCAAGAAACGATAACCTCAATGGGTTAGTGACATCAATTGGTTATCATAAGGGC